GAAATGATACTAAATTTATTTCTTATTGTTGCAACAAATGAATTTTTTTTGTCTCATATTTTTTTTGGTGTTCCACCCGTTTCGGCTAATCCGAATTTAGAGATCAGTTCTGGATGGTTAGATTCTAGTCCCCTCCTAATTGTTATTTCGGGGGATTGAACACGAGTCCTCCTTACCAAGTTTTAATTCCAATCATCAGTACACCAACAAACAATTGGAATTTTCGTCTCATATTAAGTACTCATTTGTTGTAAATAAAAAGAAGCAAAGGTAGTATATAAATGTATCAATTTACCTTTGTTTTCTTACAAGAAAAAATTACAAAGACTGGAAAATGGGAGTGATAGAGCCGGGAGAAAATCGAAGAGTAGGAAAAGTATACTACTGAGCTGAAAAGGGATGTCTAACATTTTTTTCATTTTTAGAGGTAAATTTTCTCCGCCAAAACAAATGAAGCTTAAGGGAGTTAAGGTTAGGTTACTCATGTGTGGAGGGGGACTAAATCAAAAGTGGAGAGGGTCTAGGTAGTAGCAAGTGGGGGCAATATTGTATATTTGCTACTTTATTTACGAGGCCAGTTGGGTAAGCAAAACGTAGTATGTTATGCTGACTTTACCCATGGACGAAATTTTCACGAAAATTTAATCTCGCTCGCATTCTTCCAATTTTTTTTTCCTGACACCTTTCTACTTTAGGCAGAGCAATTTCAAGAGAGAAACTTTAAGTTTAAGAGAGAATGTGCGAGCTAGAGAGAGAAATTGTGGGCTAGAACGAAAGAGTTGAGCATTGACCTCTGCTTGTTTATGGTAAATCTCAATTAAATTTCTGAATTTCTCTTTCGTTTATTTGTGTGAAAATTACTGATTAGTTGGATATTTTGTTTGATTAATTCTAAATTTAGAAGCATTTGAATAATTTATGTAATTTTCAATCAATTTTTTTTTGTAATTGAGTAAAATTGCTCCATATGACTAGCTAAAACTTCCCTAATTTAATATGTAATTTATGAGTGATTATTTAAGCAAGATATGTATTGTTAAAAAAAAAGCAAGATATGTGGGTCCAACTCAAGTTCACTGGGGATTTTCTTGATCAACAATTTAAGATTTATGTTGACTTTCCATTGGATTTTGGAATTCGAGTGGGTTCAATTGAACCCTCTCACAAGAGAGTGGCTCCGCCCCTGGGTGGCAGTACAAGTGGTATGATTTGAACCGTGATGATGTTAAGCACTTGGACTCTGATTGTGAGGTTACGCCCCAAGGCAACAAACAGGTACCACATTCAATCTTATGTGATGGAACTCAGAGTATGAGGTGTTATGATGTTGTTCTTTCTAATGGGGTTGTTCCTCCGCCCTTTGTGAGGAAGATATTTGCTAGTTGGGGAGATTTTGATACTTATTTCAAGAAATATGGAAGGCAACAAGGTTTTGGGATTCTTCGTGCATCTGGTTCTTACACCTAGATGAAAGATGATGCGTCTAATTAGCTGAGAGGGTACATGTGGAAGTGTGAATGTTATGGAAGCACTACTTATAGGTGTCGCATTGACGGGAAAAGTGTGGTTGCTGAACAGGTTGGGCCTTTTAGGCGTAAGTCAAAGAAATGTGACTTCCGTGTGTATATGTACTACTGCAAAAACAAATCCAGTGATTGGGTAATGAAAGGGTTGGAATTACATCACAGGAATCATGTCCCTACACCTCGAAAGTCTCGCTACATTTCTATGTATAGGTAGGACGACATCAATGTTGTTGTGAGGAGAAAGCTCTTCGCTAATGTTGTTGCTAGGTCTTAGGTCATCCAAGTCTTCAACTCACTAGTTAGTGAGAGGAATGGGGTTGAAAATGTGACCTTTATTAAGAAAGATTTGAGGAATATTATGTTGGGTTTCGATGAGTCCAACTCACCACGGAAGAAAACCCAAGCCAAGACCACACTCACAATAAATATAATCACAAAACATAATTAACTTAAACAACAAGAATTAAGGAAAGATTAATACCTTTGATGCATGCTTCGCTCACTACAAGAGCTCTTACTTCGGAAAGCTCTAAGTCTCGCTTACACGAAGACCTCCAATGGAAGTCCACCCGCAACTCAACCCCGACAATGGTTCTATGCTCAGAGGTTAGCTAAGCCTGACCTAAACCCGAGTAATTATATGTGTTTAAAGGTTTTCTCATTGGAGATGCCTTTTTTTAACACCTTACACAAGTGATTTTCCCAATATCCCAACTTGGGTATTTATAGGGAAAAGCAAGAGTGAGATTTACTCTTCCATTAATGTGGCAGAATTGATTATTCCTTTTATTTTTAAATCAAAAATAATATTAATTATCAAGCAACTAATAAATCAACAAGTGGCACATTTAGGAGAGGAGTTAGGTGAGGACCACAAGGAGGGGAGGTGACCAAACTTGATCCCCAAGGAGCTCCATTTGGCCGGCCACCTACACACATAAAGGGCCAATGCCCGACTTCCACATGGCACCTCAAGAGGAGCACCAAGGCAGCCGGTTGGGCCGCTGCCAAGGGCCCAGCAGCTGCTGCCAAGGCGTGGCTTACAGCTGCAGCCTCGGCCCAGCTAGCTGCTGTAGGGAATATTTTAAGCATCCCACACTTGAGCCACACTGTGATCATCCACTTAAGTACGGTGGCGTCCAAAGATTAGGAAGCTAGAGTAAAAGAGTCGCTAACAAGTTTTAGGGACTTGTAAACCGTTCATAGGGTGAAGGTTACACCCCTTCACGATCCATGAGATCACTAATACCTTAGTAGTCTGGAATCATGACTGGATATTCGGGGATGAGGGTACAAATCCAACCTAAAAAAGATTGAACCTGCCATAAAAATAGGCCTCTACTTTATTCTTCTCGTATTCATGTGCGCTTTCTGACTAACATAGAATCAATATATTAATCATAAAACCTGTTTAATATATGTTGGTTGAATATTAATGCACAAACAAAACTATTATTGGCGATCACTTGAATTATAATCATATTAGGCTAAATAAAATAATTAATTATCTTATTATGCGTGATTACAAGTATAAATTCCCTTTAATCCTGCAAGAGAAGGCGTGATCAAGCAATAACATAACATAATATCAAGCAACATAATAATTAATAACAAATCATCATCATAACAAAATAATCTCAATCTCATGAAAGCATAATAATATTATTAGAAAGATCTTAGGCATGATACTAACATGATTAATAACAAATTCTAACATGTCACTAAACAATAAATATCAAATCTTTATCCCGAACATGACACTAACATGATAGAATTGAAATAGGAAGCAACCTAAACATGATACTAGAAGGCAATAAATAACATCGATATCCTAACATGATATTAGGAATTATAATAATATAAGGTTGCGTTTGGATACTCACATTTCATTTGAAATCATTGATTTCAATTCCACAATTTCAATTTCTAGAATTCAATTCCAAGTTTCATGTTTGGCAAATTAATAATTTCAATTTCTGAAATTGGCCAAGTAATTTCACATTTTGAAATTGGCCATGTTCATTTTTTTTTGCTAAAACATTATTACCATCAACAAAATTGATTTTTTTCCACCATTTATTTCTATAATAATTTATATTCTGCTCTCGCTTTTTTTTTTCTTCCCAAACTTCTGCGCATAAATTTAATCAACATCTCAGAGAACTAAAAAATTAGGGAAAAAACTACGAATTAAAGAAGAACAAAGAACGAGAAATATGTAGTATAAGGGATACAAGATTCAATCAACCGCATAAATCACCAAATTGAAACAAAATGAAGCATAAATTGGGGGAAAACTGAACAATAAACCCTAATTTCATCAAATTGAGAAAATTACACAACCAAAAATTAGGGGTTGAGTGAGGGAGAGCTTGAAGAGAGATAAAGCTTGAGTGAGGGAGAAGCAGAGCATGGAGGAGAATGGAAGAGAGCACGTAGAGAGAGGGAGCAAATGTCGTTAATTTTTAGGTGGTGGGATTTCAAATGATGGGTTTTTGGATTGAATTTCAAATTTAGATATTTGGTCTCATGTTTTAATTGGGTTTGAATTGGGCTAATTCTAAATTCAAATGTTTGGATTACCTAAACATGAAAAGTTGGCTAAATTCAGCATTTCAAATGAAATGCTTTAAACCAAACAAGTCGTAAGCATGCTTTTTATATCAAAAGATCAATTAAAACAAATTTCTTGGATACCTCGTATCTCTTTCTAATAACAAAATGCACTCGTTAGTAAATTCAAGGAAAATATTAAATCTAACAATTAATTTAAAATTTGAAATAGGGATTTGTGACCAAACAATTATTCATATTGACCATTATATTAAAAAAATTTATTAAAAAAAATTAACCATTATAGCTTTTATAAATTCACACTAACTTTTATTTCAACATAATAACTCTATATTAATATAGTGACATTTTTTCAATTAATAAAACAATCCTTTATTCTCTAATATTAATTGTCCACAATAAATTAGTGTGAATCAAGTCCATTTAAGAATTTTTAGTTGGAAAGATTTAATTTTGAACTCTACTTTCCAACCCAATTGGAATCAGATTAAAATCTTTTATAGAATAAAAGATATGGTCGAAATAGTGGGACGGTGTCACTTTTGGATAGACTTTTGTATTTCTTTGATATCTTTTTCTTTATAACTCGGAATTAATATTATAATATATCATAGGAAAGATAATTTCAATAGTGGAAAAAATCTCATTTGTAACAGACTATTTTCTTTGCCCGTTACAATTAAGATATTCGTAACGGGCAAAATAGTGTCCATTACGAATACTTATTTATTTGTAACGGTCACTAATTTGTCCGTTACAATGTATTCGTATCAGACACTATTTTTCCCGTTACAAATACTATATTACATGTAATAGGTGTAGTGTACCCGATACAAATGCCCAAACTTGGCCCAACTTATAGAGGAGCCCATTAGGCTTTTTATAAGGGTTTCACGGCTTTTTCACCTGGGCGTCATTCACTCCCTCTCTCTCTCTCCTCTCCTCCCCATCATTCACCTTTTTCTCTAATTTCGAACTCAAACCTTCTCTCCTCTCCTCCATCAATCTTAGAGAAAAAATGGTTACCTTCTGTCAAATTTGAATTGGGAGTTGTCTCCAATTTCACAACCTCCATTTTCCAACTACTGTGTTTTCGTTGTCGTTGTCAATGTTGCCGTTGTTGACTACTCTTCCGGCGAAGTCCGATGACTTGCTTTCTGAATGGAAGAGAGTTTATCTTTCGATTGATCCTAGTGTTGTTCTACTTGATATCGCCTTTGTTCCCGATGATCCTAATCACAGTACTCGCCTTCTTTTTTTAGTTTGTTGATTTTTTATTTTAATTAGCTTTTGTGTCATTTGATTTTTCTAATGTTTGTGGTTTAATTTTCGTTTCAATTTATATTTATTGGCCGAATTTTCATTTCAGTTATATTTGTATAATCAGAATTTTCTAGTATTTGTTGTTTAATTTTCATTTGAATAATTGATTTTTTGGCTGATTTTTCATTTTGAGTTAATTTTGTATACTCTGAATTTTCTAATATTTGTTTTAATTGTTTTTTTTTGGCTGATTTTTCATTTTGAGTCAATTTTGTATACTCTAAATTTTCAAATATTTGTTTTAATGGTTTAATTTGTTATTGGTTTCCTCCTCCATTGCTGCGTTTGAAGCCTCCACTTACCTTCTGCTCGCCGCCAGTGAGTCGCCATGGTCCACGTCGTCTACGCAATTGCAATTTCTCCTTTTCCCCTTTTTTTATTCTTTTTTTTTTGTTATTTCCATTTTATCTGATTTTTTCAATCAATCTGCTTTATATTCTTTTTGTTTTTCTCAGATTAGTTTATTCAAACATTTGAATTCACCTGGGTTTTTATTTATGTGATTAGCTTTTTTTTGTATTTGATTAATTTTTATCTATTTGTTATGCATTATCTCTGTTTTTACTGGACTAATTAATTTATATAGTTGAAATCAGCTAGAAAATTTTTAATTGATTGATAAACTGAATTTTTAGGGCTTGTGATTTTGTGTCTCAAATCGTTGTATTTGTTGTAAAGTTTGTACATTTTACTTGATTTGTAGTTTATGGTTTATCATGTTAGGGTAATGACCTGTTTTTATATATGAAATGTTGCAAATCGGTAGCTTCTGTTGGTTTGTTCTTCTAATTAAGTTGCTTTTTTTCCACTAGTGTTTTATACTACTTATGAGTGTTAGGGGGTCATATTGCTCGTTTTAATTTTACGCCGTATTTATAAATTGAATTTTGATTGTCAGGGAGAACTGTGGTGAAAAGATGGAGGAGTTTCTGAAGAGATGTTTCTACCAATCTGGTCAGTATGGCTTTTAAATACTTGTTTGTTATGCTGATTGATGAGAATGAGTAGTTGTCTGTCCTCGTCGATGACTTATTTGCTGCACTTGATGGTACATTGTATCTTAATTTTTGACAAAGTTAACTTGCTAAAAAAATATGAGCATGATTCAAATTTCAAAATGATTTATTTCATAAATTATACGTGATGTTTGCTTTTGCTTGTAGCATACTGTAGATAATTTAGGGACATAATTGTGTACACAGTCAAATATTAGGGATAACATGATGTAATCAACTAATAATTACATGGATTCTATGTTTAGTCATGTAAGCAATGCTGGTTAGATTCATGTACTTCAGCTGTGTGAATGTCTTAGGCAGAGCTGCAAAGAAAAACCAAGCACTGGTTGGAATATCTTAAGATTCTAAACATTGTGGTTGATTCGTTTTTTATCTCATGCTATGGTACTAATCTTATCTTATGACTTATGGAACCTATTTTATTGTTAATGTAGTATCCAAACATGAAAAGGATTGATGTGTTGATATTGACATTTGGATTTGTCATGTAAAAGCCTGAAAATTTCATATGGCTAATAGGTCTCTGTAGAGATTTTACTTGTAATAGTGTAGATTTTTTTAAATTGTTTTTAAATAGCAGCCTGCAAGAACCTTGTCAAGAATGTCTATACTATTGTCATGAAGATCACATGTTTAGCCTTTATTTTGACGACAATACCTTCAATAATGTAGGCTGGGAGGATTGCTAATCGACTCTTCTATTTGTGAATTCTACCAAACATCTTTATAGATGCGGTGAGATGTGCAAGTTTATCTGCATCCTCTGCAAATGGGTGGACCCGGGTCATTATAGAGAAACCTTTTGGTCAGGATTCAGAGTCCTCTGCCGCTTTGACTAGTGGACTTAAGCAGTACTTGAATGAAGATCAGATTTTCAAGTGATTGTTTTTTACTGGATTTTAGTGCTGCTCTTACAGTAAAACACATGTGTGACTCAAATGACTGATCCATTGCCTGTTCTGCGTACAAGATAGATTATTATCTTGGGAAGGAACTTGTTGAAAAATTTTCCGTTGTAGATTTTTGCAGTTGTGCTTATCTCACATCAATGCTTGTTAGCTTCTACATACCTAGCGCAGATTCCCATCAAAGAACAGCCTATTCTAATGAGTTGTAAACTCGTAACTCGTGCGTAAGTTTCCTGTTACGTATGTTGTATTCATATTATTATACACTGGTTTTCTTACTTGGATTTCCATGTCTATCAATTTTCTTCATATTTTACAATTTATTTAAACACACATTTGTTATTTATTGTATAATATACCCTGGTGGCTTGGTTATTGCTGTTTATGATTGTTTATTGTATATTAATCACTGGTTGTGGGGTGTCACAAAAAAGTTGATGGCACTATCTTATTGTTTCAATTGGATGCTAGTTTTGGTAACTATCTAATGAAATTTCTGATGTTATTTGTCTTGGTCTTTGTAACAACTTCAGAGAATCATTCTCTGTAGAGTCTGTACTAACCAGTAACTCATACTATAAGGGAACTATCCATTACTTCTCTTTTATTGGTAATAGTATGAATATTATCAAGAAAAATGCTATGCATGACCCAAAAGCTGAAATCTCCACCATTAACAAAGCTTTGATAATTAGGAGCACCTTAAAAGTTCTAAGTTAGAATTGACTATCTTTAATATTGATTTATTTATGTGAAATCAACAGGAAAACAAAGGTAAACACCAAAGCTCCCAACCATGGCAGAATCCATTGCTGCATCAGCTATATAGTGGATTGGCTCTATATTGATTCAAGAGGCCAATAAAATATTCGATGTTGCAGATCAAGTACGGGGCCTTCAGCAAGAGCTTAAACTGATGCAGCATGTCTGAAGATAACTGGATCATGAGATTTGCTTGCTTCATTCATAGTGCCCCAAAGATGTATGAAGTTGGGAAGCATATATATGAAACACGAGAAGAAGTTGAGAAAATCGTTGAAAAGTTAAATAGCATTGGACTAAGAAGAATCAATAAAGTAGAAGGTTTTTAGTTTTTGTTATTAGGCGATAATAAATGTATTTTTTTTTTTTCTGATTGTATAAATATGAAGCACTTTTTTTTTTTATCTCAATTAATTAATAAAATAATTGTGCTATAATTTTATGCAAGCTAGCTAATCCAGCACAACATGTGCTGGATATTTTTTTTTAATTGGGGTACACACTATTTGTAACGGGTACAACCCCGTTATTTGTAACGGGCAGTTGAAATTCCCGTTACAAATAAGTCGTTATTTGTAACGGGCACTTGCAATGTCCGTTACAAATAACAGTTTATTTGCAACGGGTACTTGAAATGTCCGTTACGAATAACGGGTTATTCGTAACGGGCACTTGAAATGCCCGTTACGATTAACCCGTTATTCGAAACTGACACTGCCCGTTACAAATAACACTAGCTATCCGTAACGGATGCATACGTAACGCCCGCTGCCCGTTATAGATAGACCTTTTTTGCCCGGATAGCTATTTTTCCACTAGTGTTTCAAGATCTATCCAACCATATAATATTTGGATAAAAAAAATATGATGTAAGAAAATAATATCTGAACATATTCTATTTCGGGAGTTTTTGTGTCCCTTGGGAGAGTTATAACTCGAAGACTGGATTCAACAAGGGCGCATGTACCTTCAAAAACAAACGGAGCTTCGAATGATCGGAGGTCCGCCTCCGAAGATTAAGTTAGTAAGGATTCGGAGAAAAACGTGCGGAAAGTAGGTATCTGCTCGGATTCAGAGCTCAGGTGTTCTTTGTTTTTGAGAGCAATAAATGTCCTAATGATTATGACGTAAAGTTTAAGATTGTAAAATTGTCCCAATTACTGGGGGAATCTTCCTATTTATAGGGTTCTAGAAAAACGTGCCCTACCCTAGGGGTTAAGGTAGCACTGTCTTGCGGCTTCCCTTGGGATTTAGGCCTTGAAAGCCGCCATTCCCGGGGGGCATATCTGAGTGACACGTGTCATCTAACTTGGGAGTCCATTTGGACACCTATGAAAAGGACACGTGTCATTCTCTCATTGGTCCACTTATAGGGGTATAAATACCGAAATCATTTGCCCCTCACAAGGGTGACGTGGCATGCCACGTGACGCCTGTGATAGGTGTCGGCCTTTGATTGGTCGTATTTTTACTTTTTATTGTTGGGGAGAATCTAGGGTTTTACCCTAGGTTTTCACTCCTATTAATAGAGGTTGACTTCTCTTTGGATTCACACTTGCGTGAATCTTTTGGAGAATCTTGAATCTTTCATTTTCAAAGACTTGACTTCTTCAGCATCCGACACTTGGTTGTTCGTTCGCCTGTTTTAGCAGACATCAAGACCAAGAGCCTCTAGTAACTTCTTCTAAGGTAACTGCCTGATCCTTTCTTTACTTTATTTTTGAATTTTTCTTTTTCAAAAATGGTTTCCTAAACGCATCCGGCACGGTCTAGGTTAGCGATCAGCCGATCACCGGGGACAGCTGAACCTAGAACAAGGAGTGCTGAATGCTCGTTCGAGGACTCCTTTGAGTACTTCTCCAAATCCGACAGTGTCTGTGCCCTTGCAAGACACCATGACAAGGACCAAACAAACTAGTCAAAAGTATAAGACGGATGGTTCTTGGTACCATTCAAAAAGTTCAATTGTCTACTCGGATGGCTCCATTTGGGCGCGTGTGTCCAAGGTTCGCCAAGACCCTCCAAGTAACGTTAGTACCCCGAGCTCCTCAATTTTGAAGGAGTCGGATTATAATCAATCCCTTAGGCCGAGTGATTCCATGCTGGATGTAGAAATGGAGGAAGACACTGCTGGCCCTAGCCAATAGGCCCCCAGCACCGAGGAAGACTTTCATGATGACTTTGGGTCATCATCTTCTAACAGCGCCTCCATAGACTCGGAGGAGGCGCGGTCCAAACTTGAGGACGCTCAAGAGACCCTCTTAGTAGACATAGAAGAGGGTTGGGCGGAGCCGTGTGATTTGCGGCGACTAAAACGTGCCCCTTTTTTCTTGTACGTTGCCAAGAGCAGGTGGGAAAAAATGGCAGCCGACTTTGGCAAATTTATTCCAACCATGTAATGGGATATGGGTATCTGTTGTCCGTGCCGGATGGTGAGGACATGGTCACCTTGAAGGAGTTATGTGTTCGATAGTGCAACTACTAGATATATCAAGGATCACGATTATGGAGATAATTAGTTCATTCTATAGGGTCGTCAATGTTTGGTGCTAGATATGACAATTGATCTTTGGGCTAGTTAAATAGCCCAAAGCCTTATAGAGTGGATCCTAAAAGGTCACACATAAGAGTATTGGGTTAAACAAGTTAGAGGCCCATTATTGGGCCTTATGAGTTTATGACATACCATGTTGATAGTTGGGCTTTGGATAGTTAGAAGAGTCTAATGGGTTTTGGACTTGACATGGTTTTATTTTTAGATATGATCTATAAATATAAACCATGCCTAGGGTTGCATGAAATAACTTTTGACATACAGTGAATTGTCACATAAGCAACCAATCTTCCCGAAACCCTAACTCTCTCTCTCTACTTGGCTCTCTCTCTCTCCTCCCTATCCGTACGACCCTCCTCCTCGGGTGTCGCGTGGGTGGTGTTGTGGTGTGCTCGTGACTCAAATCTTTGTAGAAAGTTTATTGAAGTGTTCGGTAACAACTAACTAGCATTAGTAGAGGTTTAATCCATACTTGTGGACTTAGTAGAGGAATCACACGTGGGGTTCTTGTTCTCCTTATTGTTCTTGCTCGATCATATGTGGAATCACGCTTCAAAGGTATAATTCTTACTTCTTTATGTGTTATGCATGAGATCCTAGGTTTAGGTGCTTTATGAATGTGATTCATGTCTATTCTCCAATTAGTACCTATAATCTCCAATACACCTGGCCAGAGATAGCAAGCTATGGTGACTAGTGTTTCGGATGCTATGAGGCGACCATACAAGCTGTTCTTCGCTTCCCTTTCCGTTCGGCTGTAGAGAGGATTTTGGACGGATACCAACTGGGTATCTGGCAACTAGCCCCCAATTCTTGGGTTAACATTTAGGGCTACGTTGCTGCCTGTGAGATGCTGGAGGTGGAGCCCGGCTTCGAGGCATTCGGTCATATGCATTATTTGAGCAAGACTCCACATGCAAGCGGGGTCGGCTGGTTTACTCTGACCAGCCAGAAAGGCTATATGATAACGCCGGGGAAGGAGAACAAGTGGAAGGAATGGAGGTCCAAGTTTTATACAGTCTCTTCCCTAGACATCTAGAGAAACAGGCGGTACAACCGCTGGAACAAGGAGCCGCCCCTCCTTGCTGGAAAAAAGCCCTACTGCCCGTCCCAAGGCAGGCGCGGGAGGAGATATTAGATCGGGGCCTTTTTCTGTGGCCGTCATGAGGAGAAGGGGGTACAGGAGGTAACCCCCTAGAGCTACATTCCCCCCTTTGAGTGGTTCTCAGACGGGACATATTTGGCCTCTTGTGGCCTTAGCTCTGAGAAGCCAAGAGGTAGTAGGCCACTTTAATTTACTTGCTTTGCTACCTATATTGATTTTTATTTGTCTGAGTTTCTAACACTTATTATTGTTTTGTGCAGACATAGCAATGCCGTAGCTTTCGTCCCACAAGAATTCGGCTGCACATTCGGCAACCTTCTACTATTAGAACGTCTTGGGCAAATGGCGAACGATGAGCAGCCGTTAGGCGGAATTCCCAAGGTGAAAATTATTTTTTTTTCTTTTTCACTTGTCAAAATTTTGTTGAAGTCACAACTAACATGTGAACTTTTTACAGGGTGGCTTATCCAAGCCTTCTCCCTCTCAACATCCGGACTCCAAGCTGCGAAAGCAGTTGGGTGGTGATGTCAGTGCTGCCGGCAAAAGCCGAAAGCACATCGCCTCCAAGCCAAAGAAGGAGACCGACGCCTCCACCCCTGTCAAGACCTCCACGAAGCCGGATTCTCATCAAAGAGTATCGAAGAGTGGTAAGCCACTCAATACTGCTCTCGGCTCAGCAGCAGGCGGCAGCAATGCCGCCACAGGAGAGGATGAAGGTAATACATTCGGCCATACTCCACTTATTTGATCAGTTAACACTGTCCACAAAGGGAACTGGTTCTTTAGAATTTTAACTTAGCTTATTTTTCTTGTTTTGACAGAGATCCCGGAGAGGCCGACTGTCTTACAGATGGCCAAGCAGATTCTTAGGGCACTTAACTCTAATGACAAGGCTTCTATAAAGGGAGTCGGGACCCTCGACCTGGACGCCATACTGGCGCTTCTTTGCGAGGTAAAATTTGTAACTTTTGATTTGAATAATGGTTTAGCCGAATGTTAATGATTTCTTCTTCTTTTTTAGCCGAGTGTAGGCTATGCTGCACTTGAGTGGGCTTAGGGAGCCACTCAACGACAAGTCCAAAGAAGTAAAATCAGCCAATGCTTAAGTCGCCTCCTCCTTAGACAAAGCTCAATTTGAGATTGCCCAAAATGAGATTCTGACTCTTGATATTAGATATTCCCAAGCGTCGGCCAACCTGCAGGTCTAGCAAAATTTAGATGCGGCGAGGGGGCGGATCACTGAGCTCCAAAATGAGTTTCAAATCCTCAAGGAGAAGTTGGAGCCCCCTAGGCTGCAAAGTTAGCCGCCTGGAGGGTCAATTCACCAACCTTAAGGGTCGGCTGCAAAATCAAGAACTTTAGCTCAAGGCCAAGTACAGGTTCTTGGCTGAGGAAGAGAAGACGACCCTGGTTAAACAAATGATGAAGGATAATGAGGCCATGTTGCGAATGGCTTGGGCATCATTGCAGTCGTCCGCCTATTATCAAATTTGGAAAACCAAGTTTGATGCGGCGAGCAATGAGTTTAATGCCCTACTCATGCGGGAAGCAGAGGAGGCGGCTGTCGGGGGCAATGAGGAGTCCGACTCCTCGGATGATTCATCCTCAGGGGATGACGAGGATCAGGAGGAGGGAGAGAAAAATGAAGAGCAGTTGTCAGAGGATGAAGCGGCTGCCAATGCTGAGAACCTCCCTTGCCAGATGTTGGTTGGTTTTGAAAAAAAAGATTAATTGACTTAGAAAATATTGATTCTTTAAGGAGTATGCATGGTTTCTAAGTCAGTTAATCACTATGGTGATTGCCGCAAATCAAGTGACAGATGACCATGTAGAACAGACGGTTGAATAGCTTGAGTGCATCCG